GAGACTAAAAGAAGAACAGACTAAAACATATATAGAACGGTTGCAGGAACTGGGTATGGCTAGTTTAATGGAAAGAAGGACCAGGGGTGACATGATATTGTATTTGAGGGGCTGCCCCAAAGAAGAGGGAGTCAACCTATTTTCCAAAGCACCTGAAGGCAAAAACAAGAAATAATGGTTGGAAACTGATCAAAGAGAAAAGCAACCTGGAATTAAGGAGAAACTTCCTAACAGTGAGGACAACTAACCAGTGGAACAGCTTGCCACCAGAAATTGCGGGCTCTTTCATCACTGGAGGTTTTCAAGAAGAGACTGGGCAGTCACTAGTCTGAAATGGTATAGGTTCTCCTGCTTGAGCACGGGGTTGGACTAGAAGACCTCCAAGGTCCCTTCCAGCTATTCTATTCTATTCTATTCTATTCTATTCTATTCTATTCTATTCTATTCTCTTTATTCTATTCTCACACTTTGCAAGCCCAGCACTGATTGCGCCCCAGACTAAAATTGCAGACTTCATCCCAGCTCCACCACAGCAGGCAAGGAGAAGAGGCGTGCAAATTAGAAAACTTCCTCGATCTACCAGTTTCTTTCAAAGGATGTTATTTCTTTTATCTTGCCTCCCACAGTGAGGGAGGGAAGGATGTGGAGGAATCCAGCTCACTGGGAATTTCAGAAAGGGAGAGAGAGAGAGAGAGAGAGAGAGAGAGGGATGGTGGTTCATAAGGCAGACTCTTTTTTTATCAGGTTGCATTGAACTGCAGCTATAATTATTCCAAACAGAAAACTACACTTCAAAAAGTAGAACTATGGATCATATCATCCTATCTGATGAAAAGATTGAGGGACCTCAGTATGTGTAACCTATCAAAGAGAACAATTGGTGTGTGTGGGGTGGACATGGTAACTCTCTTCCAATATTTTGACGAGTTGTCACAAGAAGAGGGGGTCAACCAAGTCTCCAAAGTCCCAAAAGTGTTTTTTTTTCCAAGAGGCAACTGGACTTCCTGGTTTTTCTTTGAAGATGTTTCACTTCTCATCCCAGAAGCTTCTTCAGCTCTGACTGAACGGTGGAGAATGGAGGGATTTATACTCCTGGTCACTTGCATCTTTTTAGCAAGTTGTTAAGGTCACCTGGAGGTTTATCTGTGTTCTTGGGGGTCACCTGAGTGACGCAAATGGGTGTGGAGCCTTCTTGGAACAGTTGAAAAGACATTGTTGTAGATTGGAGATAGATGATGTCGAATAAGTCCTTCCCTTCTCCACCATCCAGTCAGAGCTGAAGAAGCTTCTTCGACGAGAAGCGAAATGTCTTCAAAGAAAAACCAGAAAGTCCAGTTGCCTCTTGAAAAAGCACCTTTGAGACAACCAGGACCTGGATGCCGGAGAATCTCCGTAGACATCTAGTCTCCAAAGCAAGAGAAGAAGCAACATAGGGAGTGTCTATTGGAGGTGGTGACCCTTTGAGAGCTGTATGCAATGAAATTTCATTTTAATGTATGCCGGTTAGTGTTCCTACAAAGTGACAATAAAGTTATTCTAAGCTTGAAACTAACCAAGGAGAGATGCAACCTAGAACTAAGGAGAAATCTCCTGACAGTGAGAACCATCAACCAAGTGGGACAGAAGTTGCCTTCAGAAGTTGTGGGAGCTTCATCCCTGGAGACTTTCAAGAAGAGACTGGGCTGCCATAGGTCAGAAATGGGGAGGGGTCTCCTGCTTGGGTGGAGGGTTGGACTAGATGACCTACAAGGTCCCTCCCAACTCTGTTATTCTGTTAAGTACTTGGCATGGCTAGTCTAGGGAAGAGAAGGACCAGGGGAGACAGGAGAGCATCTTCCAATATTTGAGGGGCTGCCACAGAGAGGAGGAAGGGGGTCAAGCTATTCTCCAAAGCACCCGAAGGCCAGACAAGGAAGAATGGATGGAAACTGACCAAGGAGAGATTCAACCTGGAAATAAGGAGGAATTTTCTGACAGTGAGAACCATCAACCAAGTGGGACAGAAGTTGCCTTCAGAAGTTGTGGGAGCTTCATCACTGGAGGCTTCCAAAAAGAGACTGGACTGCCCTCTGTCAGAAATGGTGTAGGGTGTGTCCTGCTTGGGGGCCTGGGTTGGACTAGAACAGCAGTCCCCAGTCTTTGTGGAACTAGGAGGCAGCAGTGTTGAAACAAACATTGTCTTCCAGAAACTGGGGGTGGATGGATGGTTTGGTTTGGCATGCAACCTACACAGATGAAGCTTCACCTGCTCGCTGGCTGCTTCTGTGGCCCAGTTCCTAACAAGCCATGAACTGGTACTGGGCCGTGGCCCAAGGGTTGGAGACCCTTGGAGGAGAAGACCTCCAAGGTACTTTCCTGCCCTAGGATTCCATGAGATAGAAAGATAAAATATATACGACAGATTGAACAAATGGAAAATAAATGGACGGATGGGCGGACATATAGGTAGAGATGATAGATTAGATAGATAGATGATAAATAAATAGATGGATGGATGGATGGATGGATAGATGGATGGATGGATAGATAGATGGGTGGGTTGGTGGGGAGACAGAGAGATGGGTGGGTGGGGAGATGGGTGGGTGGATAGGTAGGTAGGTAGGTGGGGGAGAGAGAATGAGAGACAGACAGACAGACCAGAAGTTGCCTGCAGAAGCTGTGGGTGCTCCTTCGCTAGAGGCTTTTAAGAAGAGAGTGGACAGCCATTTGTCCAGTCTGGCATAAGGTCTCTGCCAGTCCAGGGGCTGGACTAGAAGACCTCCGAGGTCCCTTCCAGCCCCAGCTCCATTCTACCACACGGGACGTCTCGTTCCAGCAGAGGCCTGGAGAACGAGGAGGTTGGCACATGCAGCCCTGCCAATGTTTCCTTCGTGTTCTCACACCAGGGGCCTTTGCCAGCGCTGGGAGGGTGCCAGGGGGTGGCTGTAATGAGAGGGGTATAAAAAACAGGCCGCTTTCTATTTTTTCCTCCGCTCGGGTTTTGTGACCGGCTCAGCAGCTGCCAAGGTCCAGCGGCCTCTTCATCCGCCACAGCAACAGAACAGGCTGTGCCCAGTCGGAAGGAGAGAAAGCATTGCAGGACAAGGAAAAACCAGCTGGCACCAGACCTGGCACTGCTCCCTCTTCTCTCCACCTGTGGTGCCCACCCACCCAACCCCATTCCAGCAGCCACCAGTGCTTGAAGGCTTGGCAGAGTGTGTGTGTGTGTGTGTGTGTGTGTGTGTGTGTGTGTGTATGTGTGTGTGTGAAGGATGGAGTCTATCCCTGGACAAGCAGGAATGGCTACATCACCAAAGAATCCCAGGCACTGTTTGTGTGTGAGTGTGTGTCCCTTTCAGACACTTTCCTCTCCCGTTTGGCAGCTGCCCCCCACCCTCAACTCTTCCAGCAAGAGGGGCTGAGCCCAGGAACTGCTGCGGGGAAGGCAGGGAGCAGCCCAGAAGGATGCTCGCAGCCAGGGAGCCCTTACTCGCTGGGCAGGCAAACAGCACCAGCGGAAATCCTGCAGGCTTTTCCTGTGTGTGTGCCTGTGAGACACAGGGAGGGAGGGAAGGAGGGAAGATAAACAGAGGAAGGGAGAGAGGAGGGGGAGGGAGAAAGAAACAGAAGGAGGGAGAAATAGAGAGAGGAAGGGAAGGAGGGAGGAAGAAATGAAGGGAGAGAGACAGATGGAGGGAAATAAAGAGGGAGAGGAAGGAGGGAGAGAGAAAAGGAGGGAGAGGAGGGAAGAAGGGAGGGAGAGACAGACAGATATACAGACAGAGGAGGGAGAAAGACAGACTTTTGCAAACCTTACTTGGAAGCCCATCCAGCCCCACAAAAAACAAAACAAGCCCACTCCCCACCTCCCACAATACCTATTTGACAATCCACTCCAACTGTGTCCCCTTAAGAATGGAAAATCAAAGCCAGAGTCTCCCCAGGCGGTCAGTTCTAAGTAGCCAAAGTTTCTCCGCTGCTTGGCCTCCCTCAGTCTTACTTTATCTGCTTTTCTCTCTCCCAGCCCCCAGCCCCAAATGATGGGGGGAGTCCCCTCCCACCCTCTCAGCATCCAGGGAGGGCAGAGAGAGGCTGGCACCCCCCCACCCCCACCCCCGCATCTATTCTGGGCAGGAGGAAGCTGTCTCTCAGGGGAAACCACAGGCGGGGGAGGCAAGGGCTGTCTTAACTGCCCCCCACCCCACACAAGGCCAGCAAGCCTCAAGGTGCCAAAAACAAACATTGTCTCCACATTTGGCAACTCTAAGATTTGCGGAGAGCTGGGAGAGTCTTCGAAAGTTGCCAGATGTGGAGACCCGCGGCCTAAAGAGCCCAGCCGGGCCCTGGCCACGCTGCCTGGGGGATTCTGGGAGTTGAAGTCCACAAGCCTGAAAGTTGCTGAGTTTGGAGACCCCCGGCCTAAAGAGCCCCGCTGGCTCCGGACTCCGGGGGAGGAAGCCACAAGACGCGCAAAGCCCGCCGTTGCCCTCAGGCCGCACGTGAGGAGGGGGCCTGGGACGCGGGTTCGGACGGGGGCTCCGCTGCGCAACTGGGGGGGGGGGCGGGGGGCTCTTGCTGGGGTTGCTCGGAAGTGCCGGTCCAAAGCGCTTCCCGAAAGGCGGCCGCGGAAAGCGCTGCACAGCGGCAGCTGCCGGGGCTTTTCTGGGCAGGGAGGCAAGGAGCGGATCGGATCGGGACGGGCGCTAGACGGGGAGGCTGAGTGCGCAGCCCGAAGGCTCCTCTCGGGCGGCGTGGCGGGAGGAAGGTCACCCCCGGCAGGGCTGAGAGGAGGGAGGGAGGGAAGAAGGCGAAAGAGTAGGAAGGAAGGAAGGAAGGAAGGAAGGGAGGGAGGAGAAGGAGGGAGGAAAGAAAGAAGGAGGGAGGCAAAGGGGAAGGAGGAGGCTCGGCCAGGCGATGGGGAGAGTGGGGGTGGGGGGGGGGGGGGGGGTCCCCAGGCGCTCCCCGGCCCCCCCCCCCCCCTCCCCGCGCAGTCCCCAAGGCGGCGCCCGCGGGCCACTCACAGCACGCAGAGGGCGAAGGCTCCGGCCACGCTCTCGCTGTCTCGCACCAGGAAGCTGCCGTCCCGCCCGGCCCGCGCCAGCAGCTCCTCGGCCGCCGCCCGGCTCAGGTCCTTGTGGTACCAGAGCGGCGGCGCCCCCGGCCCGGAGCCCGGCCCGGCCGCAGAGGGGCCCAGAGCCGCCAGCGCCATGGCCGGCCCGGGGGAGGTGGCGGGTGGGCGGGGGGCGCTCAACAAAGGCGGCCGGGCTCCGAGCCCCACCGGCCGCCCGCGACCCCCGCCCGCTCAGGGCATGCCCGGCCCCGCTGCCCCTCCGGCCGCGCCGATCGCCCCGAGGCTGCCCAACGCCGGGACTCCGCCGCCCAGCCCTCCGGCCGCTCAGCGCTGCTCCGCCGCAGGGGAGGAGGAGGAGGAGGAAGGCGCGCGGGGCCCCGAAGCGTCGCCGGGGAGCTCGGCCGGCCTCCGCTTCCTGGGGCGGCCCCTCGGCTGGGCAGGCGGGGGCGGCTCCCAAAGGGGCGGCCCTCGCCTGCCCGCCTGCCTGCCTGCCTGTCGGGCGGGCGCCGGCTTGGCCAAGCGGGGAAAGAAAGCAGCCCCGCCAGGGGCTCCCTCGACGGCATCGCCCCAAAGGCCCGGGGAAACGGGCAGCCCACCGTCAGGGCCCCTGAGGCCGCCAGCCCCTCCCCCCCTTGAAGGGGAAACTTGGGGAGGGGGATGGAGGGGCTCCCCGGGGAATCGGGGCGGGGTCTGGCCAATTCGGGCTTTCGGGGTGCGCGGAATCCGGCTTTGCTTCCTCAAGGGTCGCTCCGGCAACGGGAGCTTGGTTGGGGGAGCGCAGCCTTGGGGAGAAGAAGAGGGACTCCCCTCGTTTGAGCATTTGCAGGACTGGAGGAGGGGATTTGGGGGGGGCTTCTGGTCCGACACCTTGCGGGGGAATTCCTCCTTATTTCGAGTTTGGATCTGCCCCCCCCTCCGCAGTTTCCTACCTGTTGATCCTTGTTTCCCGCCCCCCCTGGGGCAGCCCCTCAAAGATGGGGGCTCCCCTGCACCCAAACCCTCCCTCACCCAGCCTGCAAAGCCCATGTCTGGGTTTCCCAAGAGAGCCACCCCCAAACCTTCAACCCCATCTTAGCTGAGGCTGGCATGGCGGGAGACCAGGGCTGTCGGTCTGAAATGGCACAGGTGGTCCTCAATTTACGACCACAATTGAGCCCAACATTTCTGTCGTTAAGCAAGATATTTGTCAAGTGAGTTTTGCCCCATTTTACTTGTCAGTGATTCGCTTAACAACTCTGGCAAGAAAGATTGTAAAACGGGGCAAAATTCACTTAACAAATGTTTTGCTTAACAGCAGAAATCTTGGGCTCAGCTGTGGTCACAAGTCGAGGACTACCCGTATGGTATTTGGACTCCTGGCTGCAAAAATTGGGAATCTCTGAAAAGTGGAAATTTCTAAGTCGCTTATGATGGAATAATTGGCGTGTTGAAGGGACTGTCTGGTCAGTTTTTCTGATGGAAAAAGTGATGGGTAAAATCTGAATGTCGACTTCCCAGAAGGATGAATCATCTTTATCATCAGATTTGGAAAGATTATAAGAGTTGCACTAATAATAATCGCTTTTAGGATAATTAAGTGTTGTATGTAAGCCATGATTAAATGTCAAGATATATTATCTTGGGCTGTTAATTTGTACAGATAAACCTCAACAATCTTTCATTTAGCGACCAAAATTATAACTGACAAAAGTAACAGGATCGGTCCTCGTACATGCGATCAATGCGGCATCCCCACTGTCACGTGACCAAAATTCAGGTGCTTGGCAACTGGCATGTATGTATGACAGAAACATTAGACCAGCGGTCTTTCTGGTCCCTTCCAACTCTATCATTCATGTCTGGCTTGGGAATTCTAGTCTACACATCTTAAAATTGTCAAGGTTGGACGTCCCTGCCTACATAGTTCAGGATTTGAGGGGGGGGGTTCCATGAATTGATGCACCCACTCCAAGGCTTAGAGAGTGCCTTACATCCCCCTCCCATTATTGAGTGCCAAGAGGGGGGAAGGGCTGTAACCCCCACCCTTGTGACCTTGGGCCCTCCTGAAATTTTTGGGTTTGATCCCTATTTTGCCGCTTGCAGAGGGGAAAGCTTGTGGGGGAGAAAGTTTCCACCAAAATGCACAAGAGACACCTCACCCCCCCACTGTGTGGGTAGAGAAACTGCCCCCTATCTGAAAAACAGACCCCCCCACCCCAATGCCCCTCTCCCCTCCTCATTGCCACCAGCAATGGGCCTATATGAGCAGCCAGCGCCCCCTGCTGGCCACCAGGGAAACCTCAGAGGGGCAAGGAAAGAGCAGAAGCTGGTTTGAAGCAGGAGAACCAACATCTGGATAGGCCTGTTTAGCCTCTCTTGCCCAGGTTTTGTGGCTAAACCTCCTGTGGTTTCTTTGGTTTTTGGCTTGGTGCGGCGTATGAATTCAACCTTGCCATCAAGGCTTGTTCAGGGGACTGTGATGAACTGCATTCATAGGGTGTTATAAAACTGCATTTGTGTTTGCATGCAGGCCCCGTTGGCACCAGGGAAGTCACTGCTTTTACAAATCAAAATATTGTGGGGAGGGGGGTTTATGGGTTTTTTTGAGAAGGATTTCTTTGGGGACCAGAACTTCTGCCAAATCTCCCATTTTGTGAAGCTTGAGAGACAAGCTTGCTTCTCCTGGGATATTAAACCAGGGTTTCTCAACTTTCTCACGCGTGGATGCCCACTCCCAGAATTCTCCAGCTAGCCATGAATGAGAGAGTTGGAAGGGACCAAAAGCATCACTTAAATGCAGTATTTCTTAACCCTGACCACTTTTAAGATGGGTGGACTTCAGCTCCCAGAATTCCCCAGCCAGCCATGGGAATTCTGGGAGTTGAAGTCCACCCATCTTAAAAGTGGTCAGGGTTGAGCAACACTGGATCAAACCCAAGTCTGCCCACCATTCAATCCAGCTCTAAGCCTGTGGGAGACCCACCAAAATGCCAGCCTGGAGATGCCAGCTCCATGTTCCCCCCAGCTGCCCAACCAAAATGGCCTTGGAGGACAGTGCCCAGCCTCTGGAGGTGGGACTTGTCCACTGCAGTGCAGGAACTGGGCACATCCCCACCATTGCACCCTGTTAACCACACTGTCCAGGTGGCATCCAGTTGTCTTGGGTGTGGAAGGCAACAACATGACAACTGCAAACAAGCAATGGGGCTGTTGGTGCTCCAGAAAATAATGTGCGAAGGACTCAGATGTTGGTCCAACATCTAAGGTGAGGCTGGTGGAGTCGACTTCTGGCTGAGCGCTACTCCTCACCTGAACAGGTAAGGGACAAAAAATCCCAGAAACAATCACCACTACTGGCTGTAGAAGACTTAATATTTATTCTTACACCTCTGAATGTGGCATTCTTGTGGTCAACATCATGGTCAGCTTCCCATCCAAAGGAGAGCAGGAGATCACAAGAACCTCCTGCAGACACACTCGGGTGAGAGGTCCTGATGAACAGGGGACTCCAAAGCCCCATGGATTCCTGCCATGGCGGGGAAGGAGGGTTTCCCCTCCTTGCTGATGTTAGTCAAAGTTCTGGGGAGCCAAGGGTCCCTGCCAACCTCAGAGCAGGCCCAGGAGGGCTGAACAGAGCAACAGAGTCAGGGCTGAGTGGAAGGCCAAGGTCTCTCCCGACGACGCGTAATACTTGGCCACTGCTTCATTGGGGTTGCCATTGACAGGATCAAACCACATCTGGATGCAGCGCCCGCTTCCCCGGGAGAAGGTGGTATGTTTGTAAGAGTTGCTCCAGATCTTCTCGCACAAATCTTGGGGCGTAGGGAACACCCTCTTCATCTTCTGACACATTGAGCCCAGTGGACAGTGGTTGATTCCTGGGATGAAAAGAAGGAAGAAGAGTTTAGGGACCTCCAAGATCCCTTTTAAGTCTGTTATTCAGTGGAACAATTTTTGCCTCCGGAAGTTGTGGGTGCTCCATCACTGGAGGCTTTCAGGAAGAGGTTGGGCAGCCAACCTCTTTGGAATTGGAATGATACAGGATGAAGAGGTCTAACCTTGTGGACTTCAACTCCTTGCTGGCTGGGGAATTCTGAGAGTCGAAGTCCACAAGGCCCACGTCCACTTTGTGGGCACAACAAACTCTTTCCACAGGATCTCTACTCCTCCATAAACCCCACCAGGTCTTTGAAATTTAGTGGCACCACTGTGTCCTCCGAGCGGAGGTCTCTGCCTTATTCCAGAGCAGCCTTTCCTACGTCAACGTCAGGGAAGTGGCTCAGCCCACCTAGGTGGCTCCTGATCCCGTTCTCGGGGCCCATGGCGATGGGGGGGGGGAAGGAGCAACAACAGACTATGGAGCCTCCTGACCTGTGGTCCAGTTCCAGCCTTTGTGCCAGTTCTCTTTGCAGGTCAAGTCATCCTGGCAATCCTCCCACCAGCCCTCGCAGTCTTCCAGGCACAGTGGCACATTCAGGATTCTCTCCTTCCGCCAGCTCTGGTCCACCTGTGGGCGGAGGAGAATATCTGTAGTTCAGGGTTGCTGGTGCTCTCTGAGCTTGGTTGTTTTCTTGCAGATGTTTCATGACCCAACTAGGGAACATCATCAGTGCTAGAAGGGTTTACAGAGAGGAGGGGGAGGAAGAGGATTATGGGATCCTTGGTGCTCTCTGAGCTGGGTGGTTTTCTTGCAGATGTTTCATGACCCAACTAGGGAACATCATCAGTGCTAATCTGATGAGGTTTCATTACCCAAACTAGCGCGGCCGATGTTACCTAGTTTGGGTCATGAAAACCACCCAGCTCAGAGAGCCCCAAGGCCCCCTCCACACCTGTGAGCAGAAAGAAAAGATGGGTAGGGGTCTACTTCCACTTCCAAGGAGGAGCGCTTCCAGCTCCTCCAATTGTCTGGTGTGATGGCTCCCTAAAACCGGTTCCATCTGCTCTCCTAGATCTGTTGGGACCATCTGCCCCCATAGATCTTCAGGGGGTCTCCAACTGCCCCCAACTTGGGTGTTGAGGAACCCAAGGCACCAACCTCCCTGATTCCACCCTCACAGTTCTCTGACTGGGTCTGGGGGCATCAAGGCCAAGCCCAGCCTGGCTGCCCACCTTCTGAATCCAAGGGCCCAGGTTGGGGGAGCATTCATAGAGACAGGTGTCCTGGATGAAGTGCTTCTTGCATTTGTCCGACATGGCCCCACAGTGGTTCCAGTTGAAATTGTACAGGTAGGAGGCATCTTGGTGGGCCGCTTGGGTGGTGTTGAGCGTGCAGCAGGCGTTGTCTTTCCAGGGCGAGCACTGGGGGTGGAGAGAAGCAGAGAGAGGGGCTGGTTTGAGCTGAGGAGGGTCTGGTGGCCTCTTTGGAATGGGGCATCTTCTCCCGAGAAGTTCTCAGGTTCCCAACTAGCAGCATTCCCAGCCCACCCAGGTTTCCCCCTGAAAGTTGAGGTGACTCGGGGAGGTGGGAATGGTGGACATCTACAACGGGGGCTCTACGGCTCTTGCTGAAGGTTTCTATAGAACAAGAACTGCAAATCCTCAAAGGAACGTCTTTTAAGGCGTGGTGGGAACCTCCAAACATTTTCTATCTGTTAAGGTACTTAAGATATCCTTAAATAGTTCTCAAAAATTGTTCCTCAACCTGTGGACATCCCAAAGGTGCTTTTTCCAAGAGGCAACTGGACATCCTTGGTTTTTTTCCATTAAAAGGTTTCATTTCTCATCCAAGAAGCTTCTTCAGTTCTGGAGAACTTCTTGAGCGAGAAGGGAAACGTTTTCAAGGAGAAAAACCAAGGACGTCCAGTTGCCTTTTGGAAAAAGCACTTTTGGGACACCCATGACTGAGAATGATTGACAATCTCCCTAAACGTGTGAACAATGTTCATTCTTCCTCAAACTCTCCTCCTATCATCTCAAGAGGTGAAAGCACCTATAGGCCACCCCTCTGTTTAGTGTAGGATCTGCCAAAGCAGGGGGTGGGGTGGGGGGAAAGACCCCCAGGCTGCCTCTTCATGAGTCCACCTGTTCCTCTGGTTGACTGCAGCTGATCCCGAGAGCTGGCAGTCCACCTGAGACCCAGTAGGAGAAGATCAGGAGGAGGAAGAGGAGAATGAGATGACTTCTGTCCAAAATACAGGATACAGGTAGTCCTCAACTTACAACACTTAATTTACTGATCATTGGAAGTTACAACGGCACTGAAATAAGTGACTTATGACCGTTTTTCACACATACGACCATTGCAGCATCCCTATAGTCATGGGATCAAAATTCGGATGCTTGGCAACTGAGTCATATCTATGACAGTCACAGTGTCCCAAGGTCATGACCTTCTGACAGACAAAGTCAATGGAGAAACCAGATTCACTTAACAACCATGTCACTAACTTAACTTCAAACACGTGGTGAGAAAGATCGTAAAATTGGAGCAAAACTCGCTTAACAAATGTCTCACTCAGCAACATTCATTTTGGGCCCAATCGTGGTCATAAATTGAGGACTACCTGGAGCTGGAGAAACCTCTCTGGGTCAGCCCTGGATTGCTCAATCTGACTCACAACAACCATTGCAACAGATAGGTTGGGGGTCCCAGACCAGACAGTTCAAAAACCCCTTTCCAGCCTCGCTTCTGAAGACCCCCAGAAACCTGACTTGTGGTCAGGGGTCCCAGTGGCCCTTCTGCCCTGGCTTTCCTACCTGTTCATGCAGCTTATCCTCTGGGCCCGGCTTGGTTTTCTGGTGCTTGGCATCCATGCAGACGTTCAGCATAGACTCCTGGGCAGCTGCCATCGCCAGGATCAACAGCAGCACCTGCCCCATGGCACACATCACTCTGCCGGGGGGGGGGGGAGAGTGAGTTAGAGAAAAGGGGAGCCTGCTGGGGGTGGGAGGGTTCCCTGACCCACACATTCCCTGCACCCAGTTTGGGTCACCACGCTATAAAAAAGATGTGGAGACTCTAGAAAGAGTGCAGAGAAGAGCAACCAGGAGGATGAGGGGACTGGAGGCTAAAACAGACGATGAACAGTTGCAGGAACTGGGTATGGCTAGTCTAGAGAAGAGAAGGACCAGGGGAGACAGGAGAGCCTCTTCCAATATTTGAGGGGCTGCCACAGAGAGGAGGAAGGGGGTCAAGCTATTTTCCACAGCACCCAAAGGCAGGACAAGAAGCAATGGATGGGAACTCATCAAGCAATCTAGAACTAAGGACAGTGAGAACATTAACCAGTGGAACAGACGTTGCCTCCAGAAGTTGTCGGTGCTCCATCAATGGAGGTTTTCAAGAAGAAACTGGACAATCACTTGTCTGGAATGGTCTAGGACTCTAGGGTCTCCTGCTTGAGCAGGGAGTTGGACTAGATGACCTCCAAGGTCCCCGCCTGCCAACTCATTCTGTTAGGTCTAGGCACCAAACGTCTAAAATCCCAATCATTTGAAGTCCTTCGAAATTATAGGTGGAGAGCAGGTGGTGATTTTGTAAGATCAACCTCCTTCCCCATTTTGGTGGAGTTGGGTTTTGGGGTCCCACCCGGAAGTTACTGGCTGAACCCATCCTCTTTTTGGGGTGCAACAGGCTGAAAAACTCAGAATATCTACCATGGAAAACTGTTCAACCTGCCTAAAGGCCAAAGAAGAGGCTTTAAGTGACTTTATCATATCACAAAACTATTATCTATTAATTATTAAGAGAGGTGGGTGGTTTCTAAATATGATATATAACTATAAACGAAATATCCAGTTCTTTTTAAAAATCTGTAAATCTACCAACAAGGCACTGGGAATGGAAAAAAAAAACCAGTAATCCCTCCCCACCCCCAAACTACAATAATAGGAGCAATTTAAAAAAAAATACTTGAAGCATACACAAAGCATATTGCAAACCAAACATTAAATCTGAAACTCTACCCAAAAAATATTTGCATATGTCGAGTTGAAGACTCTCAACGGAAATTTAAAAATGGAAAGCAAATATTAGTCAAAGAACTACAGGAATTTCCAGTAATTTGGGGTGGGGGGTGGGGGTGGGGTTCTTAAATCCCATTTCTTCTTTAGAATATAAAAGGAAAACCAGGACCGAGATGCAAGTTGCCTTAACCCATTATTTATTTAACCATGTTGCATTAAGCCATAATGCATTTAACCTGGTTTCCTGAACTAACCATAATTGGCAGTTTTGAGAGAGAAAAGCTGAGCAGATACACCTGCACTCAGGGCTTCCTTTCAGCAATGCTTTGGCCTGCTAGGGAAGAGAGATAGGAACCTCCCCCTCTATTATTTGGTGGGCAACAGGTTGGGGAATTAATTCCTTGGCTTACACCACCATAAAATTGGGTTTTCTGCTTCCCACACAAGGATGATTACTCAAGGTAATGGAGATTGGGAGATTAGGAAAAGCTACCCATCCTCTCTAGAAGACTCGGGGAGATGGGAAGGGGGTTTATTTATTTCCATCCCACTCTTTTTGTGTTTATAAATAACTGAAGGCAGTAAACATATCCAACACACTTTCCTCCTCCTCCTTCCCTGTAACAACCACCCTGAGAGGTGGGTTGAGCTGAGAAATTGAGATGGAGCTAGCCCAAAGTCACCCAGCTGGCTTTCACGTCTAAAGCAGGACTTGAACTCACAGCCTCCCACTTTCAAGCCTGGTGCCTTAACCATAGACCAAACTGGGTCTCTGAAGCACTAACCAACACCAGTTGATAAGAGGCTTAATCTAGAACTTGGCCACTTCACGAGGGGTGGGCTTCAACTCCCAGAAACCCCCAGCCAGCCAGCCTGCCAACCCCAGACCCCCCCCCATACACCACAGCAATCTCTCAAAAAAGTAGAGCCCCCAAGGCTGTTCCAGGTAAAGCCAGACCCAGACCCAGACCCCCACCCCATGGCTGATGGAGAACCGCTGCTTCTCACCCCTCAGGTGTACCATACCTGCACATGGCAGCTTCTGGTCAGCAGCCCCGCCTTCTGGCTTTAATAGTGGAGGCTGGCCGGTTGCAGGTGGAGCCCCTTTCCTCCTCTGGGAGGGCCAGCAGCACAGGTGAAGAAGCGCTGGCTGCAGAGCAAAGGCTTGGCTGGGAGGAAGGGAGCTGCAGCTGCCTCTTAAAGCAGAGAGATCGGTCCAAAGATCAGGAGATCACTCCTTGGGCGATGATTGGACAAGGAGCCAGTCTCACATCTTGGACTTTTTCCTTTGCCCAGCTCAGGGGGTTGTAAGTGAGGCAGGACTCCTCTCTGAGATGGCGGGGGGGGGGGGGACAGCTCTTCCCCACAACCCTCTCAGGTAGTCAATCCCTCTGGTGGGAATTGTAGTCCAGCAGACGTGGGTGTCACTAAAGGGGGAAGAGGAAAGGGGAGAGGCTCCTTGGTAATCCTTCCTGACCTAAAACTGCAGGAGTTTTTTCTCAGAGGAGTCCTGTGTGTGGGGAGGGGGTCATGTGAGGTGAACCCCCAGCAAAGGATTCACACAAAGGGCTTGGCCGCCTCCTTTTTAACCCCAGTTTCCTTTTTGTTTCCTTTTCCTTTTCCTCTTTATCATGTTGTGCAAACAAAAATGCTTCTTGGCCAAATTAAAAAAAAAAAAGTTAATTCAGCAGGAACTGCTAACTAATTCAGTTTGTAAGACAAAATTCAGTTTGTTTGGTGTATAAGCTAAGTGTTGAATTCACCCAGTCGGAGTGCTTTGAAAACCACTGCTTGTGGTTAAGCATGTTTTGATAATCCAGCCAACCATGGTTTATTCATTAAACCAGGATTAAACTGGGATATGGTAAATTTCAACCTTACTCTGGAAAGTTTTTTGCTGAGAAATATTTAGGGCCAGAGAAATAAGAAAGCCCACTTTATTCAATGTGTGTGTTTTGAGAGGTGTGAAAACTTTGACTGATTAAAGATATGATGGATGACAGGTCAATAGATGTGGACCTCATCTATCCCCATAGGATGTTTCCCAAAGAGCATAATTTGGAATGTAGTGGGAAGTAAGTGGTAAAGGAGAGAGGAAGGAAGGAAGGAAGGAAGGAAGGAAGGAAGGAAGGAAGGAAGGGGAAAGAAAAAAGAAAGAAAGAAAAGGGGAGAAAGAGGGAGAATAGAAAAGGAGGGAGGAAGGGAGAGGGAAGAAGAGAAAGCAAGGAGGGAGGGAGGACAAAGGAAGGAAAGGAAACAGATAAGAGGAGGGAAGGAAGGAAACCAAGGAAAAGAGGCAGGATAAATAATCTGAATGAAAAGATCTGATTGTCTGGCAAGACACATAAGGAAATGAAAGTGTAGCTTTAATTACAGACAAAAGTAAATTCTATATCAGAAAGAATAAGTTGAGGTCATTTAGTTTTTTCAAGTGTGTATTAAAATGAAAATCCATAAATGGGTATCAGTTGCAGATTAAACATTAGCTCTCCTGTAAATAGAGGTAAGAAGAAGAATCAGAAGTGAATTCTGAGAAAAATTGTGTGATGCCCAGTGAATACCGTTCAGAAGATAAATAAATTGGAGAAACAGACCTTATGCCACCCCTCTGCCCTGCATGCCACCTGCCAACCCAGTCAGTCCCTGACCTGCCAGCGAACCTAAAGACAATAAAAGAGCACAACAACTTTTCTGCTGATTCTGACATCTAGACAGAGAATGACGAAGTGTGTCATTGATAAGAAATTGGCAAACTCCAGCAACTTAATTAGATCCTAGAAAAGTCCCTTTCAGATACGACAATTCCTCAGACTCAGAAAATATTTCCTTCCCCGCTCAAACCATTCATCTGGAGGTCACCATCCTTGACTCAAAAAAGCTGACAGTTGCATATAATCCTTTAGGGCAGAAAGTTATATTTCCACTCTACTGAACCTGCAGCGTTCTCTGGTAATCCCTAGATAAGGGGCTAAATTCAAGCCCACTTGGATGGACCTCTGTATAAAAATTAGCAGTCCTTTATGACCCATTTTGATCACTGGCTGTCAAATAAACTTCACCTCTGCTTCAGGCAATTTTCCTGTGTTGTTTTTGGGAAACCTGACTTGAGATCTGAACAGAATTTATTCTGAGAAAGAATCAAAGAGATCAATTCACGCATAAGATTAAACTAAAGGTGGTTTGCAAGAACAGAAGGATACTTAAAAATGGTTTATGAAGTTCCTGAAGAGATTTTGAAAGATTCCACAGGGAGCAGCTCATATAAGGGTTTAAAAATTAGCAGTAATTTAAGAACCGACGGAGACTAAATTAGTAAATATTAATAATTTAAAAAATCAGGGATAGTGTTAAATGCCAGGTTTTACCCAAGAGTGACCTAGGTTGAATCCATGCAAAGATGGCAGTTGAGTTCACCCTGCATAGATAACCAGGGCATTTAAGGACCTACAGATTTACATAGCAGGTTATGGTGGGTTGGTTATGGCTGATCTTGGTTAAGTTTTTTCTGTATCATAGTTCATGTGTGAAACCAACCTCTTTGGTTCATGCTTCAACGTTTTGTTCGACGGCAAAAAAACGTATTAATTCAGTGAGACTTTGGGAGAGGCCCATCATCCCCATGCCATCTGCGGACGATGGGCACTGATGACCCGCAAAGCATAAAATATTAATTTTAATGGTTTAGGTTTTAAACCATTAAACCATTAGTCTGCTGGTGGCGCAGCAGTCTAAAGCACTGTTATTAACACCTGCTGCCTGCAATTTCTGTAGGGTTCGAATCTCTCCAAGGCTCAAGGTTGACTCAGCCTTCCATCCTTTGTAAGGTAAGTGAAATGAGGACCCAGTTTGTGGGGGCAATAAGCTGACTTTGTATAAAATATACAAAAGTATGAAGGCTATTGCTTAAAAGCATTGTAAGCCGCCCTGAGTCTCCGGAGAAGGGCGGCATATAAATCAAATTAAAAAAAAAATGTGTGATGTTTTCATGTTTTAATCCTATAGTCGAATAGGAAGTCAGGCAGGCGTCGGGTTGCAAAATCGTTTAATTTGTTCATTAATATTTTTCAAATATTTTGCTTGGGAGAAGCATCTGCTTTCTTGCGCAAGCGCACTGTGCGCTGCTTCGGAGTGGCATGGCCAGAAGCCAACCTTCTCCTTGCGCGCATGCGCAGTGCCTACTGTAAAAGCGTTGGGTTGAAATCCCAGGAGGGACGCACTTGAAAAGCACACGTGATGGCAAGCCTGGGCGCCGCTCTAGGACATATAATCTTTGTGGTAGCTTCTCGCGTTGGAAACCAGGGACCGGAAATGCCTCTTTAAACGGCTCCCTAGAGCGACGGAAGCACTTCCGGCGCTGTTTCTACAGGCCTCCCAGCACCCCAAAAAAATCGCTTCCGGGTCGCGGTGGGAGCACTTCCATCCGTGATTCTCCCGGCTTCCAGTCTCCGCCGGTGGCAAGCGAGGCTCCGTCGGCGCCGGCAAACGCGGAGAGTGACGGGGGACTGAGAGCGGAAGGCCCGCCTCCGAATGCCGGAAGCGCCCGGGTGATTTGTCTTTTGGACCGGCCTACCTCGCAGGGTTGTTGTTTCGGGGCAAAGGAAGGGGGAGGACCCCGAGAAAGGCCTGGGGGGGGTCTTGAAGGGGCGCCTGGATGACCCGGGGAGACCCTCGAGCTGGTCGGGGGCGCTTTAAGTCCCTTGAGGACCCCCTGGGTTGAAATCTGGTTTTGAAAATTCAGTGGAAATGTATTTATTTTATTATTTATTTATTATGAAATTTATTTATTATGAAGTTTCTTTGCATTATCAAATGACTCTGGCCCTCTTGCAGCATAAAAACCTTTAAAAGCATTAAGCTCATCCGATATTAAATGACAAAACTAGATAAATTAAGATCATTGAATGAAATTGAGCATATTTCATAGATTTATTTATTAATTAGATTTCTTTATCCTGCCTTTATTACTATTATAAGTAAGTCCAGGCTGCTACCATCCATAAGCCTCCTCCCACTTCCTCTTTTTCCCTCAGTACAACAACCCTGCGAGGTGGGCTGGGCTGAGAGACGGAGAAGGAGGGGTCCCATCTCTCAGGCAAACACTTTTCGGGTCAAATAAATGCCACTTTTCCTTTACAAAAAGAAACAGAGAGAGAGACTTTTCCATAAAGCTAGCTCCTGCCACCATGGCATAAAAAGAGAAAACTTTGAATGGAGAGCCTCTATGGAGATTGTCAGTCATCCAGGTCACGGTTATCCCAAAGGTCATTTGCATCCTTTGAGAGAGATGTTGAGGCCACTTGGAGGTTTACCTGTTTCCTCAGGGTCACCTGAGTGGTGCAGACGGGTGTGGAGCCAACGCCTATTTGCACCACTCAGGTAACCCTGAGGAGACGGGTAAACCTCCAAGTGGCTTCAACCACTCTCTCAAAGGATGCAAATGACCAGCTGTCTGACAGTTTCACTGTCAGGAGATTCCTCCTTATTTCCAGGTTGCATCTCTCCTTGGTTAGTTTCAATCTTAGAATAACTTTATTGTCACTTTGTAGGAACACTAACCGGCATACATTAAAATGAAATTTCATTGCATACAGCTCTCAAAGGGTCACTCCCTCCAATAGACACTCCCTATGTTGCTTCTTCTCTTGCTTTGGAGACTGGATGTCTATGGAGATTCTCCGGCATCCAGGTCCTGGTTGTCCCAGAGGTGCTTTTTCAAGAGGCAACTGGACATTCTGGTTTTTCTTTGAAGATGTTTCGCTTCTCGTCGAAGAAGCTTCTTCAGCTCTGACTGGATGGTGGGGAAGGGAAGGATTTATACGACATCATCTATCTCCAATCTACAACAATGTCTTTTCAACTGTTCCAAGAAGGCTCCACACCCATTTGCGTCACTCAGGTGACCCCCAAGGACACAGAGAAACCTCCAGGTGACCTTAACAACTTGCTAAAAAGATGCAGGTGACCAGGAGTATAAATCCCTCCATTCTCCCCCGTTCAGTCAGAGCTGAAGAAGCTTCTGGGATGAGAAGCGAAACGTCTTCAAAGAAAAAAGAAGAAAGTCCAGGTGACTCTTGAAACAAAAGCATCATTTAGCAAATGGATGTTCTCCAGGATGAGGATCTGTGCCTAATTGGGCCCCCATCGTCTCCGTAGCTGAGTCGATCCATCCCATCCTCTTTTTCCTCCAGAAAATGACCATTAAAAATAGTGTTTCTCAAGCTTGCCGGCTTTCCCAAGGGTGGACTACAACTCCCAGAATTCCCCAACCAGCTATATAGTAAACACAGATTTAAAGTGACACACAGCGCACCATTTGCAGCTCTTGGCTTCCACAATTGGAGCACAGGGAGACTTAATTTGCACCGAATGTGCAGATCTTAATGTTGCGTTATTGCTTAACGCACTGTAAGCTGCCCTGAGTCTCCGGAGAAGGGCGGCATATAAATCAAATTAAAAAAAAAAAGATCTGGATGGTAGGGAATCCCTCCCTGACCCCCCCACCCCCCCAATCCTTTTTCCTCCTCTTTGAGGGTCTTACCTCTCATCAGCCCCTCTTTCTGACCCCCAGGGAGCCATGTCCACCCTCTTCCCTTCCCTGTTCCCGCGAGTCACCGAAGCTCTATGGTTCAACCTGGACCGGCCCTGCGTGGATGAGAACGAATTGCAGCAGCAGGAGCAGCAGCACCAGGCCTGGGTGAGCAGGGAGGGGGTCAACTTCCTTGGCTTCTCCCCCCCCCCACCCCTCAACGTTGCCTCCTGCCCGGCCTTTGGGAAGGGTTGATAACCTTGGCTCCGTGTTTCCTTCCGAACATTCCTTGCTTTTCTCTCCTCTTCAGCTGCAGAGCATAGCTGAGAAAGACAATAATTTGGTGCCAATCGGGAAACCAGCATCGGAGGTAAGAGCTAATTTTCCCCGTGGCACCAGCTGAGGATTTGGGGTGAGGGGGAATCTGTATGTTGATGGGTGAAAATAGAGAATATTAGAGCTTTTAAAATCACCCCTTGCCAAAGTTGTAAGCGGAGATTCATGTGAGTGAAACACAAGCTGTCTGATTGCAGCTTTTCCCACCTATAAATGTTATTAACAGGTAGTCCTCGACTTATGACAATCACTCAGCCCAAAATTTCCATTGCTAAGTGAGACAGCTGTTAAATGAATTTTGCCCCATTTCTTGCCACTGTTGTTAAGTGAATCACTGCATTTGTTAAGATAGAAACACAGTTGTTAAGTGAATCGGGATTCCCCCATGGACTTTGCTTGTTAGAAGGTCACAGGGGGATCACGTGACCTGAGGAAACGGCCATGGTCGTAAATAGGAGTCGGTTGCCAAGCATTTTGATCACCTGGGGATGCTGCCATGCTTGTCAGTGTGAAAAACCAGCCATAACTCACTTTCCTCGGTGTCATTGTAACTTCAAGCGGTCACTAAACGAATGGTTGTAAGTTGAAGATCACCTGTAAAAGGCTTAAGAAGTGGCTCTGCTGGCTGGTTTGGTATCCCATTGTGGATGCCTATGCTAGGTGGGGGGGTGGGTAGAGATGAGATCCCCCACCTCCATGTCGATGGGATGAGTTTTTTTTCTTTCTGGAATTCCAAGCCGGCCATGGCAAGGAGATGACCGCACCAGCGCTTAGACTTATATACCACTTCACAGTGCTTTTACAGCCCTCTCTAAACGGTTTACAGACTCAGCCTCTTGCTTCCCAACAATCTGGGTCCTCGTTTTACTGACCTTGGGAAGGTTGAGTCAACCTTGAGCTGGTCAGGATCGAACTCCTGGCAATGGGCAGAATTAGCCTGCAATGCTGCACTCTAAACTCTGTGCCGCCATGGATGGATGGATGGATGGATGGATGGATGGATGGATGGATGGATGGCACTTAGACTTATATGCCACTTCACAGTGCTTTATATCCCCCTCTAAGTGGTTTACAGAGTCAGCCTCTTGCCCCCCAACAATCTGGGTCCTTGTTTTACCGACCTCAGTAGGACGGGAGGCTGAGTGTACCTTGAGCCGGCAGCTGGCAGTGGGCAGAGTCAGCCTGCAGTGCTGCACTCCGACCACTGCGCCACCAGGGCTCTCAAGATGGCTGCCTCTCTGCTTTGCCTTAGCAGACTTATGACGAGGAGGAGGAAGAGGACGATGAGGACGACGAGGACAGCGAGGAGGACTCCGAAGACGATGAGGACATGCAGGACATGGACGAGATGAACGACTACAACGAGTCCCCCGACGATGGGGAGATTAACGAGGTTGGGCCGCTGAGAATTTGTCCCTCCTTTTGGCCTGGAGAAACCCCTGTGGCTTTCTATAGCACAAGGAGCCCCAAGGGAGATCCCCCGGGCAGCCTTTCCCCGGTTGCCAACTGGCAGAAGTCTCTCTGGAGATTTGGGGCCAGGCAGGGACCATCCCTTAAAAGGAACATTGGCTGGATAAACAGCCCAAACATGTTTGTATTTATTTATCTGTATATCAAGTATTTCTATCCCCCTTTCTTATTTTTACAAATAAGGCAGTGAACATCTCCAAGACACCTTCCTCCTCCTATTTTCCACAGAAAAACAACAACCCTGTGAGGTGGGGTGGGGTGAGAGACAGAGAGAGACTGGCTCAAAGTCATCCAGATGGGTTCATGCCCAAGGCAGGACTAGAACTCACCGTCTCCTGGAGATTGGCCCATTCCTGAGGTTATGAATGCAGGAAGGGCTAGGGAAGTCGACTTGGGCAGGGGCCTGGGCTTACGCTTGTTCTCTCCTAGGGGCAGAGCTGGTGGTCTCCAGCAGGGGGTCTCCAGCCTTGGCCACTTTAAGAGCTGTGGACTTCAACTCCCAGCACAGCTGACTGAGGAATTCTGGGAGTCGAAGTCCACAAGCGTCAAAGTGGCCAAGGTTGGAGACCCCAGATCCAGAGAGTTGCCTTGCAGCAGTAATTCTCTTCTCCTAAGGGTCCTCCCACTTTCTCTCTCTCCCCCCAGGTGGACATGGAAGGGGCCGAACAAGACCAAGATCAGTGGATGATCTAGACATCGGACAAGCGGCCACTGCTGTGAATTGCAATCCATGTGCACCAACGGGGTTCCTGAGCCTGGCTGCCCTCACCAGACCCACGTGGGTGTCCTGCGCCCGCCATGACTCTCTGCCAGGGAGGGGGCTCGGAATGCCAACTGCCCTGCGAGCTGACCTCCTGCGCTGCTCTGCTGACCCGCTGACCAGAGCGAAAGCCTTAAGGGGTGCGCCTGTCTCCCAGCAGGGCCAGGGCTGCGCCCGCTCTCTTTCGGCCAGTTGGTGGGCTTCCTGCTCTTGGTTGAAGCTCTTTTGTAAATAAAGTATTTCTTTTTTTTTTTACTCAACCTGTGCTTAATCTCCCTTGCAGGCTTCCTCCTTCGAGCAATAATGCAGACAGTTCTGCAATAGTAGCAAATATCTATAGCTCGGGTGTAGGATAAAGGTTTCTTCTCCGTATTTGTGAGTTGGTTTCCGAATGTTTCATTACTGGGTTAAGTAACATCTTCAGCGGGAAGGTAGTCCTCAACGTACGACCAGAATTGAGTCCAAAATTTATGTTGCCAAGCGAGACAGTTGTTAAGTGAGTTTTGCCCCATATTATGGCTTTTCTTGTCCCAGTCATTAAGTGAATCACTGGTGTTATTAAGTTAGTAACACCTTTGGCAAGAAAAGTCGCAAAATCGGTCAAAACTCACTTAACAACGTTTGCTTAGCAATGAAATTTTTGGACTCCATTCTGCGTTGTAAGTCGAGGACTACCTGCTAGGTGAGGGGTGTGTCTCCAAAATCATTTCCTGATTCAGAGTTCAAACTTTGCAGTTTGGAGAAATCAATTCAAGGTAAATTCTTCCAGGTTTTCCTTCCAGGGTGGATTTATTTCCACTAGGGAGAGGCTGGGGGTCAGGGCTACTTCAGGGAGATACAGTGCATAGGAGAATCAGAGCTGTCACCTTCATAAATCATTGAAATGCTTTTTTGAAAGGTTTCTGGGTAGAACTGAACAACACAATGCAAAATATAACACAATAAAGCTGTCGGCACAAATCAAACAAGGCCAAACCAACATTTTTTTAAAAATTTGATTTATATGCCACCCTTCTCCAAAGACTCAGGGCAGCTTACAATGCGTAACGTTAAGAAAAGAGACACATACACACATATTCCACAATATCTGAGAATGGATAACCTAGCGCAGGGGTCTCCAACCTTGGCTACTTGAAGACTGGTGGACTTCAACTCCCAGAATTCCCCAGCCAGCCACGTGCAAACCCTACTCCCTTCTAGAGTTGATAATGTTATCCAGTCTTCAAGTAGCCAAGGTTGGAGACCCCTGCCCTAGCCAACACAGAGAAGGTGTTCTCATAAACTCCAGTTCTTTCAGATTGCAACCAGGAGAGGGACAAACATGGATTCGGAAGACTACTAACCACCATCGGAGGTAACCCGCTGCATCTCCAAACTTAAGATCGGTGGCTTTGCTTTCTCATGAAGATCTCACGTACGAGCTGGTCAGAGAATGGGAGTTTTGTCAATTCTTCACCGGACGCTCAAGCGTCGTATCTTGAGGACTGGGCAAGGAAGGTCCAACTTGGAGATCTTACTGCACCATCCATGGATGCAATATGGAATCTCTTTACAGCAAGTCAGCAATTTGACTTAAAACTTCAGTGGCAAATTATGGTGGATGTAAGAAGAGTCCAGAAGGAAATCAAAGCTTCCTCATTCCATCTCTTGTACAGGTAGCCATCAACTTAACAAGCACAATTGGATTTCTGTTGCTAAGCAAGACGGTTGTTAAGTGAGTTTTGCCCCATTTTACGACCTTTTGTGACCACAGTTGTTAAGTGAATCACTGCAGTTCTCAAGTTACATGGTTGTTAAGTGAATCTGGCTTCTCCATCGACTTTGCTTGTCAGAAGGTGGCAAAAGCGGATCACGTGACCCCAGGACACTGCAACAGACATAAGTACCTGCCAGTTGCCAAGCCTCTGACTTTTGCTCATATGACCATGGGGATATTGCAATGGTTGTAAGTGTGAAAAACAATCGTAAGTGACTTTTTTCAATGCTGTTGTAATTTAAACGGTCATTGTAAGTCTACAATTTAACTACCTTTAACTGTAAACTCAAGTTTACAGTTAAAGGTAAGAGCCTTGGTGGTGCAGCAGACTAAAGTACTGTTAAAGTGCTGTTAAGTAGTACCTGCTGCCTGCAATTACTGCAAGTTCAAATCTCCCCAAGCTCAAGGTTGACTCAGCCTTCCATCCTTTCGAGGTAGGTAAAATGAGGACCCGGATTGTGGGGGCAATAAGCTGACTTTGTATAAAAATATACAAAAGTATGAAGGCTGTTGCTTAACGCACTGTAAGCCGCCCTGAGTCTCCGGAGAAGAGAGGCATATAAATTGAACCAATAAATAAATAAATAAATAAAGTTTGTGAAGCTTCTTGTGATCCCAACATTGATAGAAGATTAAGAAGAAGGCAAACAAAGTCAACCCTTTGTTTTAAAGTGTTTTTTTTTAAGTATTACAGGTAGTCCTTGACTTACAATCAATCAGAATAGAACTGGAAGGGACCTTGAAGGTCTTCTAGTCCAGCCCCCTGTTCAAGAAGGGGACCCTATACCACTGTCTAGTCTCTTCTTAAAAAACCTCCAGCAATGAAGCCCCCACAACTTGCCACAGCACTGAAAAAACAACAACATAACTCTTTTTCACGCACTTCAAATGGAGCAAAACTCACTTAACAAATATCTTGCCTAGCAACATAAATTTCGGACTCAATTGTGATCGTAAATTGAGGATGACCTTCATGGGATCTTTTGAGCAGGAGAAGCTGGCCACAGAGATTTTGGACCGTATGCCCATGTGGCATTTTCCAGAGGTTTCAAACCGTGCCTGGCAGAGATTTTTAGTCTGCTGGGCAATTCGCCTGGGCCCTTTTTCCCAGAGCGGATGCCCCCCTGCGCCCCTCCCTCTGGCACGGAGGCAGCCCTGCCCCTCACTCCAGCCCCACGTAGGTCAGCTGGGCCATGCCGTCGGGAATGCCGCGGAAGTACTGGAGGCTGGTCCGGTGCACCCTCCACTTGTACTTCCCGCAGGCCTTGGCATACTGGAGGAATTGGGGGGCGCCGGGGAAGATGACGTTGTCCGCCAGGATGGTGGCCCCCGGCTGGAGGAGGCCTTGATCTTCCAGCAGCTGCAGATCCCGGAGGTAGCATCGCTTCCAGTGGCTCATGACCACCAGGGGACCTCCATCAGCAGAAAGGTCTCCTTGAGGAGGGGGATGACCTCCTCCGAGGGGCCCACGATGAGTTCCACCTGCACGGGGAGGGAGGGGAAGAGGGGTGAGGTCATCAGAATGGTTCCTGGGGGAGAAGTCCCGAGGGTCTGCAGCTCCCTCAAAGCCACATTCTTGGAAACCAAATGGGGAGGGGGGGGTTGAAAGCCTGGTCACGGGAGGCATCTTCAGGGTGCCAGGATAAAGGGGGTGGGCCAGGAGACCAGCTTCCCTCCACCGGGGGAAGCAGTTGGGCGGCTTTGGAGAAGTCTACTCCCCAGGCTGGCTGTGGAAGAAGAATATGGGGTCCTTGGTGCTCTCTGAGCTTGGTTCTTTTCTTGCAGACCTTTCATGACCCAACTAGGTAACATTATCAGGACTAGAAGAGAGCAGGGCTTGCAGAGAGGAGGAGGAGGAGGAGGAGGAGGAGGAGGAGGAGGAGGAGGAGGAGAGACTGTGGGGTCCTTGGTGCTCTCTGAACTTGGTTCTTTTCTTGCAGACCTTTCATGACCCAACTAATAACATTATCAACTCTAGAAGGGAGTAGGGTTTGCACGTGGCTGGCTGGGGAATTCTGGGAGTTGAAGTCCACCAGTCTTCAAGTCTCCAAGGTTGGAGACCCCTGAGGTTTGGTTGTCGAGTCTCAGATATTGTTTGTGTGACATTTCTCTTTTCCTACTGCTTGTTTGGCCTGGCACATGAGAACTCCTTCCTTTTGTTGGTTCGGGCAACGAAGGTCTCCAACCTTGGTGACTTTAAGACTTGATTCTCGCTCCCACCCACCAGCAAACACGACCTGCCCAGGGAGACCTGCGGACGAACGCAGCCTTGCTCACCGTGTCATCGTCAAAGCCAGCCAGCCGGATCACCTTCTCTGCCACGGATGCCCGGCACGCATCCATCTCCACCGTGTACAGCCGGGCGCCCAACGGTAGAGACTGCGCAATGAGGACGGAGGCGTAGCCACAGTAGGTGCCCAGCTCCAGCACCGTCAGGGGAGCCTGGCCATAAATCAGACGCTCCAGGATCTTTGCTAGGGACATCAGAAAGACCAAAGGGGAAGGGGGAATGAATGCCGGACGGAGGAGGTTCAGAATATACAGAATAACAGACTTGGAAGGGACCTCAGAGGTCATCTAGTCCAACCCTCTGCTCAAGCAGGAGATCCTCTACCATCCCAGGCAAATGGCTTTCCAATCCCTTCTTGAAAACCTCCAGGGATGGAGCACCCACAACTTCTGGAGGCAAGTCGTTCCACTGGTTATTTTTTTTAAAAAAATATTTTTATTCAGAATTCAGCAGTAGCAATAGCGCTTAGACTTAATACAGGTAGTCCTCAACTTACGTCCACATTGGAGCCCAACATTTATGTTGCTTTGTTAAGTGAGTTCTGCCCCATTTTATGACTTTTCTCGCCGCATTTGTTAAGTGAATCCTTGCAGTTGTTAAGTGAGTCACAGAGACACGGTCGTTAAGTGAACCCGGCTCCCCCATTGACTTTGTTTGTCAGAAGGTCGCAAAAGGGGATCACGTGATCCTCCCGGGACGCTGTGACGGTCATATATGGGAGTCAGCTGTCAAGCATCTGGATGTAAATCATGTGATGCCTGGGGAGGCTGGAAAGGTGGTAACTCTGAAAAACATCCGTAACTCACTTTTTTCGGTTCCGTTGTAACTTTGAATGGTCACTAAGCGAACTGTTGTAAATTGAGGACTACGTGTATTCTACTTCACAGTCCTTTCCAGCCCTCTCTAAGCGGTTTACAGAGTCAGCCTCTTGGCCCCCCAACAATCTGGCTCTTCACTTTACTGCAGTGTTTCTCAACCTTGGCAACTTGAAGATGAGTGGACTTCAACTCCCAGAATTCCCCAGCCAGCTATGCTATGCTGGCTGGGGAATTCTGGGAGTTGAAGTCCACTCATCTTCAAGTTGCCAAGGTTGAGAAACACTGCTTTACCGGCTTCATTAATAAGGAAGGCTGAGTCCGTTGAATAGAAATTCAATAAATGGAAAATAAAATAAGAATGCCAGGTTAAGTTCTCGCATCATGCTAGGCTTTTATGGACCAACCATCTGTTGCGTAACATTGTAGGCCATAAACCATAATTTACAGGGCTGGGTTTACACAACCCAAAGCTATGATTTCCTTGGTCACATTGTCCTTAAGGATCCTATCACGATTGGCTGAGTTCCCATGTTAAGCCATAAATCATGGTTTACGAGGCAGGGTCAATGCCGCACACTAAAGATAAAAGATAAAAGCAATCCATGTTTTGGCATAACAAGTGTCAACCCAGCCTCAACCGCTTTGTCTATTGGACTTGGTCTAAAGATCTGGGAATGAAAGACAGCAGCTGTGAACAATAGTAGTAGGTTTGTAGCAAGAAAACTGTGATCGCCACTCCACACAGGAACCTGCCAGGGATGTGTTTTACCAACAAGCCGGCTTTGGGATGTTGTGTGAAAGCAGTCAAGGTCTCAGGGCCAAGTCAAGTCCAGAGACGGGCAATGAAAATGGTGCAAAGTTTGAGGGACAAGAAATATCAGGAGATATTGGAAGAACGGAATATGCACAGCCTGGAAGACAGAAGAGAAAATGGGGAATACGACGGAAACCTTTCAATATATTAAGGATGTGAGGAGGGTTCTAGAAGGCAGCAGTTTCAATATTTAACGGGGAACGGGGAAGCCAGATTCACTTAACGACCAGATTACTATCTTAACAACTGCAGTGATTCACTTAATAATTGCAGCAAGAAAGGTTGTAAAATGGGGCAAAACTCACTTAACAATTGTCTCACTTAGCAACAGAAATTTTGGGCTCCATTGTGGTTGCAAGTCAAGGATCATTTGTACTTCACAGAAAGAGTAGTGGAAACTTGGGACCAATTTAGAATATAGAATAACAGAGTTGGAAGGGACCTTGGAGGTCTTCTAGTCCATCCTCCTGCACAGGCAGGAAACCCTATTCAGACAAATAGCTGTCCAATCTCTTCTTAAAAACTTCCAGTGTTGGAGCACCCACAACTTCTGGAGGCCAGTAGTTCCAGTGGTTAATTGTTCTATGTCAGGAATAGTTAGTCCAGCAGAAGTGGTGGGTCATTCATCAGGAACTGAGTTTAAACATGTTTGGCATATAAACACAGGTCCATCATCTGACAAAAATTAAAACACTAAAATAAGATAAATAATTCAAAGAAATTGAAAAGGCAGACTTGATGGATGGGTCTTTTCTGCTGTCAGTTTTCTAACTGAAGAAGAAAATGGAGTGGAACTTCCTTGCAATACTCTTTCTATCTAAACTGCCAGATTTCTCTCTTCCTTCTTTCTTTCTTTCTTTCTTTCTTTCTTTCTTTCTTTCTTTCTTTCTTTCTTTCTTTCTTTCTTTTTTTCTTTCTTTTTCTTTCTTTCTTTCTTTCTTTCCTTCCTTCCTTCCTTCCTTCCTTCCTTCCTTCCTTCCTTCCTCCTTCTTCTGTCTCCTTGTCCTTTCCTTCCTCCCTTCCTCCCTCCCTCCGCCCTCCCTTCCTTTTTTCCTTTCTTTCTTCATTTATTCATCTTTCTCTCTCTCTCTTTCATCTCTCATCTCTCCATCTGTATCTATCCAATGTATTGGCCACTCATCTTACTACAGGGCAACTCTGGACAGGTGCGTGGGAGGGTCTCCGGGGTGCCCACCTTTCTGGGGTCCCAGGTTGCTGAGATACTCGCAGTGGTAGCTCCATTGGTCGAAGGTCTCCAGGATGTGCAGGGGGTCTCCGGGGATGGCGTGGGTCAGGACGTAACGGAAGGCCCTCTCCTCCCGGGAGACGCCAGTCAGGGAGTCCCGCAGCTTCCGGAGCAGCACCGCTCGGTAGAAGAGCAGGAAGTAATGGCGATAGCGGATGAGCAGGGTGACCACAAAGGGCAGGAAGGCCAGAGCGATGGCCGGAGAGACCATGGGGGCACTCAGGAGGGCTGGCAGGGTGAGAAGACCAGTCGGACAAGGACAGATGGACAGGGAGGGATCGTGGAGCCCCTCCGCTCACTCCCCACTTTAACTGAAAGCTCTGTTACTTGTCAGGAAGTCTTCCTAGGAAGAAATGATTCTGTTGAAAACTGGTCAACATGGACAATTCTAATTCTAATTAATTACTTAAATTAATTTTTTTATTTAATTATTAGGTCTAGTCTAGTGAAAAGGAGGACGAGGGATGTCATGGTAACTGTCCTCCAATATCTGAGGGGCTGCCACATAGAAGAGGGCCTCAATCTATTCTCCAAAGCCCCTGAGGGCAGGACAAGAAGCAAGAGAAGGAAGATCATCAAGGAGAGAGAAGCAACGTGGAAGTAAGGAGGAATTTCCTGACAGGGAGAACAATTCATCAGTGGAATGGCTTCCCTCCAGAAGAGACTGGACAGCCATATACAGAATAACGGAAGGGACCTTGGAGGTCTTCTAGTCCAACCCCCTGCTCAGGCTGGAAACCGTATACCCATTTCGGACAAATGGCGGTCCGGTCTCTTCTTTAAAGCTTCCAGGGAAGGCAAGCCATTCCACTGAGAAATTGTTCCCACCCTCAGGAAATTCCTCCTTAGTTCCACGTTGCTTCTCTCCTGGATTAGTTTCTAGCCGTGGCTTCTTGTCCTGCCTTCAGGGGCTTTGGAGAAGAGGTGGAGCCCCTCTCCTTCGTCTTGATATTGACAGACTGCTATCAGGTCACCCTTAGTCCTTCTTCTCCTGCTGTCACTCCCAGCCCCAGAGATGGGCGGCCTTTTGTCCTCAGTGGTCCAGGGCCCTCTTCACCCCACTGAATGGTCTGGAAAGTTTTGGATTTGCTCTCCGGACCTTGGAGGGAAGTCAGACAATTGCTGGACATTGATTGGTTTCAGGCCAGTTGCTTCTTTCTCCAAGGATGTGGGGCGACCAAGTCAGCTGGTCACAGGGAAAAACCCTAACCTGTGGAAACTGCCATGGGGCGGCCCCCTCAACTGCCTTACCTGTCCGGAGCTGCAGCCAGCCGAGTCTTTTGTGTGCTTGGAGAACACCACCTGCCTCTCAAAGGACAATGGGCAGCATGAATGATTGATGGCAACCCTGAAGCCACTTCCTGGGTTACCTGTCCACCTGAGACAGGTGGCAAATAGGAAAGGAACAACACAGAGACTGCGCTGGATCTCAACCTTGGTAGGTCGAGCCTGGAAGGGGAAGCATTGGTGAGGGATAAACGCGACTCTGCATCTCAAGGTTGGCATCCTGTCCAGGTAGATGGAGGACAGAATGGCCACGCCAGGTATGTCTTTTGTGCCACCCAGGGATGCCCTTGTCTCCTCCCATCTTGGAGGTTCTGAGCATTTTTAAGATGGAGACCCTTCAAAGATGCCACTCTGGAATAAGGGGAGGATTGTGACCGGAGGGCCCTAGAGACAGAGTTAGCTGTGGCTGCTATTCCTCCCTAATTCTTACTATAAATATCTCACTTGGAATAGAATACAGAATATCAGAACTGGAAGGGACATCGGAGGTCATCTAGTCCAGCCACCACCTCAAGCAGGACACCCTATTCAGACAAATGGCTGTCCCATCTCTTCTTAAAAACCTCCAGCGATGGAGCACCCACAACTTCTGGTGGCAAGCTGTTCCACTGGTTAATTGACCTCACTGTCAGGAAATTTCTCCTTAGGTCCAGGTTGTTTCTCTCCTTGATGAGTTTCCACCTGTTGCTTCTTGTCCTGCCCTTCAGGTGCTTTGGAGAATAGATGGATCCCCCTCTTCTTTGGGGCAGCCCCTGAGATTCTGGAACACTGCTATCATGTCACCTTCTTTTCATTAAACTAGACATGCCCAGTTCCTGCATCCGTTCTTCATATGTTTTAGCCTCCAGTCCCCTAATCCTCTTTGTTGCTCTTCTCTGCACTCTTTCTAGAGTCTCAACATCTTTTTTACATCGTGGCGACCAGAACTGGATTCCCTTCGTGGTTTGCTTCCCCACCAATTAGACATTAAACCAACAGGCTGGGTACATGGGCTTCCTTTAATAACAGCAAACTATTTAGCTAAGGCATAACCAAAAAAAAAAAAAAAAAAAGTCACAGAACAGAGCTAGAGGTTGACTTTCAGGAGCAGCTTCTGATGGCATTTTGGATACCACAAAGCTAGCGGTATTGTCAGAATGATGGGCAGGAGACCTTCTGGCACCTCAAATGATTCTACCTTCACCAGCCTGGATTAATGAGAACACAGGTAGACCCTGCTTGCATTAGGAGGCTCTCCATGCAGTGTATCAATCACATGGAAGTTGGAGCTGCCAAACGTCTAAGGCCTGCTCCTGCTGGGTCCCTCACGCCCACCTTAGATGCCGCAAGGACTTATAAAATAGGTTGGCAGACAGACGAACGCCGGAAGCAAATCTCACTCAGGCCATTTCCATGTTCTGGGGCGCCAATGGCTGGAAACCCATGAGACGCTGAACATCCCCCCCCCCCTTAGCCAAGACCACTTGGGTCCAGCCTATGGCACGAAACTGGGCAATGTGGGGTATTTGGCATTTGAGGTGGTCGTCCACAACCATTTTGCTTAGCAGGGCAGTTGAGAGAGCTGGTAGCCGCCTGGGTCCGAGTTGGTGCCAATGACTCAAGGGCTCAGGAATTGTGTTTTGCCTGATCACCACATCTACCCATTTCCTGGGTTTTACCGTGGATTGTAAATTCACCAGGTTGGTAATTGCCCAAGGATGAACCTCCAGAAACCTGCCACGTTATTTTTGTGCCAATGTGGACAGACGGCCATCCGCTAACCTGCAACTATTTAGTGGGCCTGAAACGGCTTTGGCCTTCCGTGGGCTGTTTGGTGGGGCACTGAGAGGAGAGAGGTGCCAAGGTCCCTTCCAGCTGGGCACAGCGTCTCTTCTTACGTGGGCGCAAAATGGATAATCCGAAATTGTTCCCTGATCAATGCAATTCAGGCTGCAAATTTTAATATTGCTGCATCTCTGGCTTTAAAAAACAGAATTGCTCCCTATCAAGTTTCCTGCACTTGTGATTGTCTAGCAAAAAGTACCCCTCCCTCTATCTTGCTTCTTGTCTTGACATTTTACAGATAATCCTCAACTTACGACTACAACTGAGCCCAAGATTTCTGTTGTTAAGCGAGACTTTTGTTAAGTGAGCTTTGCCCCATTTTACGACCTTTCTTGTGAAACTGTGAAGTGAATTACTGGAGTGGATAAGTTAGTAACCTGGTTGTTAAGTGAATCTGGCTTCCTCATTGACTTTGCTCGTCAGAAGGTCGCAAAAGGGGATCAAGTGATCTTGGGACACTGCAACCATCGTAAGTATGAACCAGGTGCCAAGCGGCTGAATTTTGATCACCTGACCCTGGGGATGCTGAAAGTGTGAAAAATGGTTATAAATCACTTTTTCAGTTCTATTGTGATTTTGAGCAGTCACTAAATGAACTGTCGTAAGTCGAGGACTACCTGTATTATGCCCCCCTCCCGATCTTCCCTTCTCTGTAGGGCCATAGGAGAACCGTTCGACCTCTTCTGTTCCTCATAGTTTGCTAGCTACTTTCTTAGTCCCAATTCATCCGTGATCTGGAAAAACCGGTTGCCTGCAAGGTTTGGGGCAGGCCCGACTTCCACCCCGAGGGTCCACAGCTGGCAGAGGATGATGGGCAACGAGGAGCCCCCCCCTCTAACACTGCAGCTTCCGCACCGCCCTGGAGAACCTCTTCAGCTCCTTCTCCCCGTGTTTCCACCTCCTGACCCAGGAGAGGACCAGACGGTTGCTAAGACGGTGCCCCATGGCCAGGACCACGGTGCCTGGCCCCCCTGCCAGCTCTTCGCAAGAGCAGCCCTCGCCGTCCACCAGCCACAGAACCGGCTTCTTCCGCTCCTCTTCGGACCAGTTGGCCTGCTTGTAAAGCGTCCGGCCGCGGAGCTCCGGGATGACTTTCAGGTCGCCCCCAACGCCAGACAAGGATTTGATGGTCATCTTCAGAGCTGTAAGAGGGAGAAGGAAGCGGTCAACTGAAGGTCAAGACTTAATACAGATTAACAGAGGGACCTTGGAGGTCTTCTAGTCCAACCCCCAGCTCAAGCAGGAGACCCTGTCTCAGTCCAGACAAGTGGCTGTCCAACCTTCTCCAGACTCACCGAAATCCTGGTTGCAGACTTTCTCCAAGAAATCCTTCTCACTCGGTCCAGAATCAAGGCAGGCTGTGCATACGGCATCTGGAAGGGGACAAAAAAAAAAGGGGGGGGAGGATGAAAATCAGTTGTGGTTGTAAGTCGAAGTCTACCTGTAAATGAAGGTTATTGTTTAAATGTATTTTTTATTGGTTTTAATGACTGCTGTCGCCTAGAGTTGCCTCCAGGCCAAATGGGAGACATATTAGATAGATAGATAGATAGATAGATAGATAGATAGATAGATAGATAGATAGATAGATATAGATAGATAGATAGATGGTAGATAGATAGATATAGATAGATAGATAAGAGATAAATAGATGGATAGATGGATGGATAGATAGATGGGTAGATGAATAGATAGATAGATAGATAGATAGATAGATAGATAGATAGATAGATAGATATGAATGAATGAGTGGAGCTACAGAAGATATATGCAGTGGCTCTGTTCTCCCCTCCCCACTCCCTGGATGAGGGAGAGATCTGGGAGGTTCGCAGACCCCGTGGGTCAGAGGGAGGGAGAAAGACCCCTCCCACTGCAGATCTACTCCAAGGATTGTGTGAAAGTT